TCTATGCAAGAAGACAATTTGAAATGAAATTCTCTAGCCGCAATTCTTGATTGGTTTTTAGCCACAAGTTTATGATGGTTTGTAGCCAAGATTTTTCTATAAATATGAGTTATCATAAAGAGAATTTGGATGTCCCTTGAGAGGAAGAAAAATAGGATAGAGAAGAGAGAAAAATGAGAGATTAGAGAGATTCTTTTGAGAGGTTTTTTTTAGTTTGTAAACTCCGTTGTTAATTCTATTCAAGTAGAAATAGAATTGTTTTTCCTCTTTTATTCTCTTCTCCTGATCAGAGAATCACAACAAGTGGTATCAGAGCCAGGTTCATCAATTAACCCTCGTAGTTTTTGATAAAACTTTTGCAAGTTAAGATGTCAATGGAGGAATCTTCATCAGGAGCTATGATCAAACTCACTACCAACAATTACACACTGTGGAGGCCTCGAATGGAAGACCTCCTTAGTTGTAAGGAATTGTATGACCCCTTGGAAGTCAAAGGTGAAAATCTCGATCCTACCAAGGAGGCGGAGTGGAAGAAGCTAAATAGAAAAACTATCGGTCAAATTCGACAATGGATTGACCATAGTGTTTTTCACCATGTAGCACAGGAGACAGATGCATATGCTCTCTGGAAGATTTTGGAGGACATGTACCAAGCCAAGACTGCTCGAAACAAAGCCTTGTTGATGAGGCGTTTGGTGAATCTGAAGTTAAAGAGTGGAACTTCAGTTGCTGAGCACACCAGTGAATTTTAGAGCTTGGTAAACCAATTGTCATCTGTGGAGATGTCGCTTGGGGATGAAATACAAGCCTTACTACTTTTAAGTTCTCTTCCTGATAGTTGGGAGACATTAGTAGTATCTCTTAGCAACTCAGCCCCTGAAGACAAGAAGGAAGGGTTCGAGGCAGGGGGAGAGGCAGAAGCAAGAGTAGGAGTAGATCCATAGATGGAAGGAAGCCTACTTATAAGTGCTACTATTGTGGTATGGAGGGCCACTTGAAGAAGAACTGCAGAAAATTGCTATGAGAGCAAGGCCACAATAGTTCGCAACCGAAAAAAAAGGAAGAAGAGACACTAGTCACTATTTCTGGAGAGGTGGCTATCTGCTCCATCCATGAGGAGACATGTTTTCATGTCTCAAACCAAGATATTGAGTGGGTGGTAGACACTGCAGCATCTTATCACGCCACTCCACGTAGAGATTTCTTCACAACATACAAAGCCGGCGACTTTGGAGCAGTGAAGATGGGAAATACCAGTTCTTCTAAGATCGTGGGAATTGGTGATGTTCAGATACAAACGAACCTTGGGTGTAAAATAACCCTGAAGGATGTTCGACATGTACCTGATTTTGGCTAAATCTACTTTCAGGGATAGCCCTTGCCAAACAGGGCTATGTCAATCAATTTAGCAATAGCATACGGAAAATGATGAAAGGTTCCATGGTTGTCGCTTGAGGACATATATGTGGCACTTTATACAAGACTCATATGAAAATGCATGTGGATAGCCTCAACGTAGCAGAACGTGAACCTTCTCAAAATTTGTGGCACTAAAGACTTGGTCACATGAGTGAAAAGGGATTGTCTACTTTGACAAAGAAGGAGCTAATCACAGTTGCCAAGGAAGCTGCGCTGGATCCTTGCAGTCACTGTCTATTTGGTAAGCAACATAGAGCCTCCTTCAATTTCTCTTCTACCAGACGATCAGAGTTGCTCAATCTAGTACACTCTGATGTTTGTGGTCCCTTGGAGGTTGAATCACTAGGCGGTAACAAGTATTTTTTAACATTCATTGATGACACTTCTCGAAAGGTGTGGGTATATTTCTTGAAGACAAAGGACCAAATATTGGATTACTTCAAATCATTTCATGCCATGGTAGAGCATGAAATAGGAAAGAAGCTGAAATGTCTCCGCACAGATAATGGAGGTGAGTATACTTCCAAAGAGTTTGATGCCTATTGCAGGACATACGGCATTCGACACGAGAAGACGGTCCCACGTACCCCACAACATAATGGAGTCGCCGAGAGGATGAATCGGACGATCATGGAAAAGGTCAGAAGCATGATAAGTATGGCTAAGCTGCCAAAGCCATTTTAGGGAGAAGCTGCTCGAATCGCCTGTTACTTGATCAATAGATCACCATCAGTGCCGTTGAATTTTGAAATTCCGGAGAAAGTATGGTCTGGTAAACATCCCTCCTATTCTCACTTGAGAATATTTGGCTGTTTAGCCTTTGCACATGTGTCCAAGGAGCTAAGATAAAAGCTAGATGCAAGGACCACTCCATGCATCTTTATAGGCTATGGAGATGAGGAATTTGGATACAGATTATGGGACCCAAAGACAAAGAAGGTCATTAGAAGCAGGGACGTAGTGTTCCATGAAAACCAAACATTAGAAGACATTGAAAAGCCCACAATATCTCCTAATTCTAATTTTGGTGCCCAAAATATTGCTCCAGATCCAGCACCAGCACAATTCACCATAGATAACGACAATGTGCATGAGGAAATGCCGGAAGCAGAACAGGAGGATGAAGAAGGGGATATTGATCAGGGGGAGTCACAATCCTCTTCACCAGAAGTTGTTGGACCATTACATCAGCCAGATAATGATGCACCTCCTGAAATCAACGATCCACAGGTAAGAAGATCTGAACGAGGACGAATTTCATCAACGAGATATCCAGAATCAGAGTACCTTTTGCTCACTGATGAAAGAGAGCCAGAGAGCTTTCAGGAACCACAAACTTATGTGGACAAAGACAAGTGGATACAAGCAATGCAAGATGAGATGGAGTCACTACAGAAAAATCAAACATATGAATTAGTTGAGCTTCTGAAGTGAAAGAAGACATTAAGGAATAAATGGGTTTTTCAAACTCAAGAAAGATGGCAGCGGAAAGGTGGTAAAACATAAAGTCCGTTTGGTAGTCAAAGGATTTTTTCAGAAGAAGGGAGTTGACTTTGACGAGATTTTTTCACCTATTGTAAAAATGGCCTCAATTCGAGTTATCCTTGGATTAGTAGCCAATCTGAATCTAGAGCTTGAACAGATGGATGTTAAAACAGCATTTCTTCATGGTGATTTATATGAAGAAATTTATAT